TTTCACTTTATTAGAGATGTTAGTTCACATGGTGTTGTGAAACTTGAAAAGATATCAACTAATTATAACCCTGCTGATGTAGGTACTAAAGTTCTACTTTTAAACAAATTCCTGGACTGCTTGACCTTGTTGAATGTTGCACGTTACTGATCTGTGGATGCTGAAAATACGTGCTTATGATATCTGTGTTATGAATAACCATCGATGACTGTTAATCATTGTACCAAGGTGGAGTGTGATAGGAAATTGGCACAATGATGCAAATGCCCATTGGGCTGAATTTGTTGGCTCAGCTGGAAATTGAAGGCCCAACTCATTTATGTTGTTTATCTGGTGCAAGAAACGTGTTTTGAAGAATGGCTTAAAGTTGTGTTTTCACTTACCTAGTTTTTTGGACACCTCAGATGCCACCACGTATCGCCTCCAACACCGTTGGATAGGTGACTGTTGAGTGACTCATTTAAAAGGGGCTTCTAGGGTTTGAGCAATATACTTAGGCTTTGAGATTTTTCTATCATCTCGTGTTCTCTGCGCCATTCTAGAGACTTCTCTCTTTCTTCACTGTAGAAATCAAAATACTCATTTGATTTCTTGTTCTCTCTTAACATTGTGTAATCTTGAGTGATTTCATTGTGTAGAGAGCGTGTTCTTGTGTGAACTCGTGTTATTAGTGTGAATGAAGGTCTAGTGTGTTATATAAAGGGTTTTTCTGAGTGTCATCCTTTTGTAATCTTACTTTGGGGTTTGATTGCGTTCGAATGGTGGTTTATTCTTGTGATTGAAACACTACAGTTTTGAGACTTGGCCTGAGGGTTTTTATGAATAAAGATACGTGTTATTTTTTTATTTTTTTTGGTTTCTCCAGTTAATCTGTTCAGTTCATCTTTGGTTTCCTTTTAGCATATATGTTTTTTGTTGATTTGTGAAATAATCTGTTTGATCGCCTTCCAACAATAATCTTTTACCAACCGATGTCGATAAGAATGTTTTATATGAAAACAAAAGTCACCAACTCCAACAGTTAGTCACCCTTGACAAAACCAACCTAACTTAGACAAGTTTCCATGTGAACAATTCCATGTGAACAATCTAATTCATAGTTCCATGTTGAGAAAACATTTTGATAGTGATGTTAGTCTTAGAATTTACAATTTTTTTCCTCTTTTCACATATCCTTATCTTCACTAATCAAACAATGTTTCACTGTTTCTCGGTCTCCCCGCGTTGTTTGTGGCATCTAGGGTTGAAAAGTCGTCTCCGGAGAAATAGTAAAATTACTTTTTGAACCTGTGTGTAAGATGAATTGAAAAGTATTAAAGAAGAAAAAAAAGTTCAAATCTTGTCTATTATAAAACCTAGTTTAATTGTGTCGAGTGTTGTATAACAAATATACGCATAGAATTTTCGTGATACTTCATGATGTACCTGGCTTTTGGACAAGACTTATAGTGATGCATTTGCCGCAGCGTGGCTTTTCGGTCAATCAGTTAAAACCTTTCTTCCCGTGATTGAGAATGTCCTAAAGTTCTTCCAATAGCTTGTCTTCCTCGTCAGAATAGAAAAGGGTTTTTTCACTTGTTAAATGATTAAAGTTGCAAAATGTGTTCATTAATTTCTAGTACACTGCTGACCTAAACAGTTAAATATTGACTTTGCTTTTCCGATTTTATCCTCAAATTCACTAACAATTTATTTTCTTCTCCAAACTAGAGCAGTATTTGAGCGTCCATAATCTTTTATGACTTGAATTCCAAATTAACTAAAAAAAATCATCACTAATTGATCAAATTTGGGGACGCTCCTATTTAAAAATACTTATGAAATTGGTATGTTATGTAGCAGTTTACTTGTGGGCTTTCATTTTTGTTTTTAATTTTCTTTTCTATTCTTCTGGCACGCCCTCACTATAAGCGCAGGATTAAGACTCGTTAAGAAATAGTTTTGAGAAAGCTTGGTTAAAACGTTTAAATCAAAACAATTCGATATATTCTAATACTTCTATACCAGTTCATACAATATCACGAAAGGTCAACAATTCAGAGTCGACATATTAGTCATACCTAACTCCAAATAGTTTCGAAGATCAAATCCAAAATTCAGTTTAATAACCATAAAAATGATTTTATTTATTTTTTTAAAAAAATGAGTTTTGGAATAGTGATTTTTTTGAATAATGAGTGATTAAAAAAATATGATTTTTTTAAATTTACGTGTAACATAGTGCCTATCTGTTACTGATTTTTTGGTCTAAAATCTTGATTTTTGACCGTTAAAAAGCAACATGGGGCCCACCAATATGAGGAAGAACTTAAAAAGGGCAGTGGCAACGGTCATATTTTTTATTAAAATCAAGCAAAAATTGCTCCCAAACAAGCACATAGTTTATTGTGAGAATGTGTGGTTAAAAAATGAGATTGAGAAAGAAAAAAAGAATTTTATTTTAATGATTGTCAGAGCTAAGAGCCTGTTTGGTTGTGATTT